CAACACAGATGCGTGAGAGTGCTTTCGACGACAATATTGATAAACGAAGCTTGTCCGTTTTCAGGTTCATGTAGCAACAGCGGCGAGGGGAAACCTTTCTGTGAGAGCTGAGCTGTGCAGGTGAGACTCTCGTCTGCAGTGACCCGCACTCAGCAACTCAAGGGTTTAGATGGTCTACTGCTGTATCATGGGGCTCGATTGTTGTTGTTGTTGTCAGTGTCGCTGCCGTTGTCATTCTTCCCTGGTTTGGCATGGAGTTGTCGCAGGTGCATCGAATGCCGTTTCAGCGTCGTCCACCAGCCGAGGCCTGCCAACATCTCCGTGCTGGGAGTCGGCTTCAGCCTCCTCCACTCAGCCCAAGCCTCGGGGGTGCTGCAGGCCTGCTCACTCCTGCTTCCGGTACATCTCCTCGGAAAATTACTACTTCCGTTGCCACTACCACGACTGCACTAGCTCCCACTATCTTTGACGCCGACAACGACGACGCGTCGCGGTGAAACATACTCTCCATCGGGTGCTGCGATCTAGTTCCATACCGCTGAGAAGCGGATCAAGAGGGCACCGCAATCACTTGTGACGCAGTCCACCTCTGCAGCACGGAGCAGAATGGCGGTTGTTGGAGCCTCTCAGGGCTGCGCAGACTACAAGCAAGCCATGTTGGGGAAGTGGAACTCCAACAGGTTCAGGAGACAAGGTGGAAAGCAGCTGTGCAATGTTTTTGCCGGATGACAAACAGAGCATGGTGCCCAGCGAATTTGTCACAGACACTGGTGACTAGGTTCGTGACAGAGCCAAGAATTAGGGCCAAAAGTATGGCGACGCTGCAGAGGAGATTCACGCTTGTGGCGTTGATGGTAAGTAAGTTCGTTGCCGAAGATCTGGAGATTTTCGACAAATTGCCCAAGCTGGCACCAATGGCGCTTTGCGACTTCCTTGAGCGGCACCAGCCTCCCCGAGGTGAAATATAGCCGCGATGTTGCTTGCACAGGGATCCTGGAGTGCAAAGCGACAAGATCCGATGGACAGGAGCAGTAGGGCGCTTCTTTCTGAGGTCCCCAAGGCACGTCAGGAGGAGATCGTGAGGTGTGTGAAGTCTGTGACGGTGCTCGTCAGCCAGAACCGTGCCTTATGCGCGCCCAGGCCAGAAGTCTCGTGCAGCACACTGAAGCTAAGATGCTGATGCCGATAGAAATCCGAGCCACTACTATGCTGAGTCCACGAAACAAGCAGACCGACAGGTGCTAGGCAAACGGCATGTGCCAGCAGAGCCTTGCGGCTGAGGTACATGAAGTATGTTGGCCAATTAGAGTGAATTCTACGGTCACGACTTGAGCCGTCCATGCTGACGGTCGTGGCTGAGCCCCTGCTGGTAAGCTGAGTGCTTACATGCTTCGCTTTGTGCCCGAAGCTCCGCAAGAAACTGGCACGAAGCAAACCGAGCACTGCCCTTTGGTTCTGCAGTGGGGTTTCCTGAGGCCCTTCAACGGGGGCAGAACAGCGGTGCCGTTCTGGAATGTGTCTGGAGCTTGGTCTCTTGACCCTCTTTGCCAGCGACTGTGTCTGTAGTCGCGGCCAGGTTTGGCTGCCGGCCACTGTGAGCACGCGTCTGCAGAGCTTGTGCAGGGTGCGATGCATCCTGCTTGTCGTTGTTCGCTTCTCGCTTGGTGGTGTGCACGATCCAGCCGAGTTTTGTTTAGTTGTGTTTTGCAGCGTCGTGGCATGTTCAGAAGGCAACTAACATGCGAGATCCACACCTCAGAATGCCAGACTCCTGCAAGCATTGTGAACGACACCTTGATCAGCTGCCAGGGCCTCAACAGGATTGCACTCGAGACACCAGTCATTGCCTGCGAGCTGACCGCGAAGCGGGTGTTGCTCCTCAAGTTTTCCAGCAATCGTCCTCCCGAGCTTCCTTCGTGTCTGCGTGTCCGATACCAGCCTTGCCGGGGTAGACAGATGTATCAATGTGGACACACCCTTCATAGGAGAGACAGATGTAAGTAGCCTGGCACTTACAACACGGTGCAACGAGGTCCCGAGCCTCCAAGTGCGGAGTGCATGCAGCGACGAGGGAGTGCGAGTTACCAGGCAAGGTCATGGGGATCTTCGCGTTCCGTTGCCCGCTGCTCGCGATGCCTGAAGGTGACGACCATGGACGTGCCGGAGACTCTTCCCGGGTTTCGGGTTTAAGGTTTGGGTTTTGGGGTCTACGGGGCAAGGCTTTTGGGTTTAGGGTTTAGGAGTCCGCAGTGCTTGCTCTTTGGGGTTTCACCTCCAAAGCAACGAGGCACTATGGCATCCATGGGGCATCCACAAACCTGGCTCGGAACCAAGTGGAAGCAGGTGTTCAAACAGAAGCAGCCCGTGAAATGAGTGTACCTACCAGTCTTCTTGCAGCATTCCGAATCTGCGTATACATGTCGGTAAACGCACAGCAGTAAAACAGTAAGCAGCAGAATCTGTGACAGCAAGTGTGCATAGAAACGTGGTTCACTTGTGTCGGTGGAGAAAATAACGAGCAACATGTTGATGCCATGTAAGGTTTCATTGCCTGGAACATGCATGTCTACATGATGAATACATTCGTCACATATAAGTCCGCTGCGGGTCTGTAGCTTAGGCCGGCCATTGAGAGAACGTGAGGTCTTGCCGTGCGAAATCTCTGAAGACCCCAACAGCTGCCTTCACGTGGTTGTGCCTACGCCCGCCGTGCAGCAGGCTGACATGGGACAGAAGAGAGAGTGCAGACTGTTTGCCCTTGTGAGAAGCTGAGTGGACATACCTGCTGGACATTTCCGGCAGGCAACAGACGTGGTTCCAGAAATCGGCGGCAATGTCACCTTCGAGGAGGGAGACCTGGGATTTGGGTCCTTGCACAAGCTCAGCGGTTGAGTAAGATGGCGAATGCCCATGCCATGATAGCAGTCTCGCTTTGTGCCATACACTCTTGTTCATTTGCTTGTTGGACGAAGCTGGTATGCGACCGGCAGAAGGTTGCTGGCCTGGATTCGGCGGCGGATGGTCTTGCTCTCAGTACCTGAACCATGCATCCCAGCTCATAAAGTTGGAGCAGTGCCCCTTTTTCTTCCCTCCTGCTAGGCCTGATGAGTCTGCTTTGCCGCTTCCGGCATGCGGCCAGCATCCTGGGGCCGATGTTCACCCAGCCCTACGTGACCGCTGGGAAGCTGCAGGCCGGACTCGACGACCCTTAAAGGCTCAAACCCGTAGATCCTACACTCTGAACCTCTGAAGTCTGAACCGGTCTTAGAGCTGTAAATCGCAAGCCCCTAAGCCGGAAAGGATCAAACCCAGATTCCTGTACCCCAGGTCCTGCATCCCAAACTGTCTCAGCCCTAAACCTTTCATCCCTAACCGTTGAAATCCGGAACCCTTGTAGCCCTAAGCCGGTATCCTGAACAGCCCTGAACTCTTGCAGTAGCCCCAAGTACCCCTCTAGATACTATCTTGGCCGCTATGTCTGGAGCCTTCGATTGGGAGGCCTCCACGGTATTCTGCGCGTCACCCGATTGGTCGATGCCTTGGCCTGCAGGGTTTGAGGCTCTGGGGCTTAGGGAGGCTTGAGTGTAGTGTATAAGGGATTTGGTTTTTTTTAATCAGTCCAGTAAGACTACGGGGTGTAGGGTTCGGGAGCTTAGGGTGCAAGGGTTAAGGACAAAAGTCCAGGCTTGAGGGTTCAAGGTCTGGCGCTGAGGGCAGCATGAGTTGAGGGTTTCAAGGGTACACGAGTTTAGGACCTGGGTCGACAGTTTCGCGCCTGCGGCGTTACGGTGACGGTGCTTTATTGTTTGAGGGTTTAGAGCTTAGCTTTCAAGGTGTAGAGTCAGTAGGGTTCAAGAGTTTAGGGTGTAAGGGTTCAGCGCCAAGGGTCACAAGAGTTTACTGGCGTGAGGTTCAACAGTTTGAGGCTTAAAGGCGCGTGGGGTTACAAGGCCTTTTTATTTTTACGATTTGGGGCCTAGGGTTACAGGAGTTCAGTGCAAGAGCTCAGGGTTTCAGCATGGGGGGCATAGGCGTACAAGACTTCCGGGTGGAAGGGCATTGGGCTTGGGGTTGCAAGAGTGACACAGTAAGGATGAGAATTGAGTTTTGCGCGCTCAAGCTTGATGTGGGCTCAGCAGCTTCTGGGTTTGGTGGTTGCGGGGTCTAATTCAGGGTGGTGGGGTTTAGGCTGTCCTGCCCACTGTTCCTCCTCGATCACCTTGTCTTTGGTGACCTTCTCGGCAGGCTTTGGATTTGGAGCCCTTGCCATCCTTTACCTCTTTCGTGACCACCTTCTTGTGCGGCCTTCCCCGGTGTTTTCTCCGCCTCCGGCTTCCTCCAGTCCGCCTGCTGCACACCCACGCCTCAGGGCGTACCTGCATGGGTGATTCCTCGTCTGACCCTCCCTTGGATTTGGAGGCTCTTGCTTGTGCATTCGAGCAGCTGGAATTAGCTGCTGGCTCCCTGGCTCGCGCCGTTCACGGGCGCCCCAGTCGCGACCACGAAGGCTGGGAACTTGTGTCATCCGCAAGCGCTGCGCCTGCCAGCTCCTCGGAGCAGCCTGAACCCTCTCCTGCCCCTAGGGTTGCTAGTAGTACTCCTCCCCCTCTTCGGTTTAGGCCCGAACCCGGCACAGACCCTAAGCCCCCTGCCCTGCCTTCCGAGTGCCTCTTCCTTTGTTCTTCGCTCGCCCCGGCCGCCAGGCAACGCCGAGCTTCGAGAGCTTGGACAGCTGGACTTTCGGCAGGCAGGAAGCTTCGAGGTGAGGTCGACTGTGTGGAGCCTACCAGGTTCCTGTCAAAAACAGGTGTTATCTTGTCCTTCGGGGCCCTGCCGGCAAACCTGCCAGATTCTTCCGCAACTTTGGGGACTTCAAGCTCTACGTGGGCCGCCTCTCTGGGGAAACCATCTGCCACGGCTGGCCCACCGAGGGCGAAGCCAGGGTGTATTGTAGGGCTGCCGGCCTCGAGTTTCCGGAGCCTTGAGAATGGATCGCTCAGATCTGGTGTGTGCCTCCAGTGGGGTGGTCGCGCCCTACGTGGCTTCGGCGCCTATCGCTGCCCTACCTCGCGACAGGGATGCTCAGGTATTGTGTGTGCCCGTGCTTCTTCGGCCTGGCGGCTTTCTGTTGGCCCTTCCTACAGGAAGCGTTCCGCCCGCCCTACTTTCAGCAGGGGCCGAGGCAGAGGCAACAGGTATGCATGGCCCTTCGACCACACTGGAGGTAGCTGCTGTGGAAGAGGACGAGGACGGGAGCGAGAGGCCCGTCTCGGACTCCCTTTCGGTCCTTCTTGTGGACCTGTCGGACGAGGCCCTGCAATTTCTAGCTCCCTACGACTCCGAGGCGGGCCTGACTGTGGTGTCTTTCGACCCGGTGCATCCCGACAGGTTCCCGAGCGCCGAGGACCTGCTCGTCTTGGCTCGGTCGTGGCTGAGGGCTGCGGCTCACGACAGAGCTGCTTTTTACACCGCGGCGGAGGAAGAGAAAGAGCCTCGAGAGGCTCCAGGTGGAGACGCTCCCGTGGAGGCCCCGACCGGCCAGAAGCCTCCAAAGCCGAAGCGGGTCACTACAGGCCAGCTTGCCAACCAGCTGTCAGCCCTCCTGGAGGTCATGCCGAAGGTGACAGGTCAGTTGGAGCAGCTGGCGTTCAGGCAAGCAGCTCTCGAAGAGCAGGTGAAGGCAGGTGCACAGGTGCCCCAGCCCCCCGTTCCCGTGCTTCAGCAGGCCCCAGGCATGCCGAGTTCTCTTGCAAATGTGTTCGGCCCGCCCCCCAAGGTGAGGCACCGCCTGGCCGGCCCTCCTCCTCAGGTTCCTTCTGCGGGCGATGGTCTTGCCAGGCCTCCGCTGGACTTAGAGACCCCAGGCCAGGCCGAAGGCGAGGTGTCGGCTGCGCTCACGCAGCAGAGCAATGCTCTCACTATGCTGGTTACCCACTTGATCAGCCAGGCCTCCGAGGCCTCGGCCGATTTCGGAGGAGGTGCTTCAGGGAGTGGCCTGTCTTCAAAAGGCTCGGCTCGAAGGGAGAAGCTGCAAGCCGAGCTCGCCAACTACACGGGGGCCTTTATGGTATCTGTGGCTCAGGCCGGGGCTCGGCGCATGAACCCGACAGCTCCTCCTCCCCGGTCTCTGGCCGAACTTCGCTCCAGCCCTGCCCCTTTTCGTTTTACGGAATATGTGGAAAGGTATGGGGGCTACCAGCATCAACGCGAGCTGGGCCTGATCCAGTATATGCTGTGCCAGGTCACCGACCTTCTCCTTTCGAGGGAGGTCGACGGGACTCTCGACCTCCTCTCCTTGATGCATGTGGCCGTCGAGCAGGCCGCCCAGGACCATGGCAAGTGGGAGGTAGCTTATGTGCTGAGTCTTTTCCCCGACCCTCCGGGGCAGGTGTTTCAGAGCCGGTCCTCTGCTCAGAACCCCCGGCTCAAAGCGTGGGCTCCCTTGTGCCCGGCCCCTTGGGCCACGACAGCCCTGGCCTACTTGAAGGAGGCAGATGCGATAATGGCCCGCCGCTCCGAAGCTGTGAGCGTGGCCCAGCCCAAGAAGCCTGCCGACCAAGAGGAACCAAAACGGCCGCCTCGCAAGCCTCGGTTCCCCAGGCCTCCAAAGCAAGAGAACCAGTAAGCCGGAGCTCGCCCGCCCTTTGACTTTCGAGGCCCCTCGTGCTTTGAGCCTTTTCGCAGCCTTGTGGGGTCCCCCCGGGCTCTCCTCTGACCCTGCCGAAGCGTCGGGTCCCAATCTGTCTTCCGGCTCCCGTCAGCCCACATCTTGCAATTCATCGCATGCCGCGCCTCCTGTTGAGGCTGCCAATCCTGATGCCATTGCGGCCTCCCCTGCTGTCCTTCCTGGGTCTGCGCTCGGAGATTTTATACCCGCTGCGACCCCCCCTGCAGGTGGACTTTCTTTCAAGAAGTGGTCTTTGTCTTTGGCTTTTCGACTTCTTCGCACCAGGACCCCCTTTGCGGCTTTCCTGGCTTCTCTTTTGCACCTGACTCCAGGCGGCAAGCCTGCCCCTGCCAATGCTTTGTTCCCGTTGCCGCTGCCTTTCTTTGGCCAGTTCTCGCGGCCGCCCCCGCGCCTTGGATCGAGAGCCCGCCTCCGACTTGGCATCAGGCGTGCGACCTTTGTGACAGTCGCTGCTCTCAACTACGTCCATGCTGGAGGTTTTGTCTCCTTCGCCTCCCTGCGGAGGCCTCCTAACGAAGTTCAGCGCAAAGCCCTGCACTATCTTGGGAGGCTTGTCCTTGCGGTGCAATCGGAGAGGTCGATGTACCCTCCGCTTCGCGCCGATCTGCACAATTACTTGCACGGCTTGGGGACCTCTCCGAGGACCTCACTTACTCAGGGCTGGCCTCCGATGGCTACGGCCCCTTTCTGAGGAACAACGTGGTGCCCCTTATCGGAACCTCGACGCCGATCGGCTGAAGGCCGCCTACGCCAGAGCTGGTATCATTGGCTCGGACGACAAGGACGTGCAGGACGAGGACCTGGCTGTTTGCATGGGCGCTGAAATCGACAGCTCGCCCGCCACCCGCTCTCTCGGGCTGGCTCTTGTAGGGGCTCCCCGCCAGAAGAGGATAGCGATCGCAGCCATCTCCTTGGAGGTCGCGAGGCTGCCCTGCACCACCGACCACCTCCACCTCAGCCTGTTGGGAGGTTGGACCTCCATCCTCCTCTATAAGAGGCCGCTCATGTCGATTGTGTCCGAAGCCTACCACCTTGTCGACGCCACCAAGGTACGACCGCAGGCTGCCCGGACTGTGCCTTTGCCGCGTGCTGTTGCAAATGAGCTTGCCCTGCTCTCGGCTCTCTGTCATGTTCTCGTTGCTGATGTTTCTTCGGATTGGCTCCCGGATTTTTGCCACTGACTCCTCTGAGGAGAAGGGAGCCATTGTTCGGGCCGACCTTGCCCGAGACGCGAGCAGAGTGCTATGGGGCGCCTCCCTTGGCCCTTCGAGCAGTGCCCGGCTTCTCTCGAAGGAGCGAGCGGGCCCTCATGCGCGTTGACAGGTTCTTTGAAGAACTTCTTGAGGATCACCCGAAGGCAGCTCCCAAGAGGCCCCTAGCTTAATGGCTTCATTTTCTTGAAGTCTGTGCCTCCCCTGTTGGCCTCACCCAGCTTGTCGGTGAGTTTGGCTGGAAGATTGGCCCGGTTCTCTCGCCCCAGCACTCGCCCGAGTACGATCTAGCCGAAGGCCGCCTCCTTGAGTGGGTCTCTTATTTGGTCTGCTCTGGACTCCTCGACTCCCTCTGCTTGAGGCCTCCTACTGGGTGGGCCGACCGGTTTAGGCGCCCTGGGGCAAAGGCGACCAACGCCAGGAAAGAGAAAGGGATTAAGGTCTTTTGCCGGTGCCTAGCGTTGCTTCGGATCTGCGTCACGGCTCGGGTCCCGTGCCTTCTTCTTTGTCCGGCCTCCTTTGACACTAGCTGTCTTAGGCCCTGGAAGGCTACAGCGCTTCAGCCTGAGGTCCTTGAGTCGGTTGTCGCTTGGGAGGGAGCCCCCTTTAAAGGCAAGGCCAGGGCGCTTTCCTTTGGATTTGTCACGGGCCTCTCCTTTCTGCAAGGGGCTTTTGCTGAGGGCCCCTCGGGTTCTACAGGCTGGGGTCGGCTTGCCTTTGCCTTTGATCGAGTCATTGCTGCTAGGCTCGAGGCCGTTGAGGCCCACCTCCTCGACACCGAGAACCTCGAGTCTCCTTTGGTCAATCAGTACGCGCTTGGGCTCACCTGGAAGGTTGCCAAGGCATGGAGGTGGCCAAGGCCCGTGCACATAAACCTCCTTGAGACCGCCTGTCTCTACAGGCTGCTGTGCTACCTTGCCCGGCGGGGCGAGCTTGCAAAGCGCTTTTGTGCCTTGTGCGACTCGAACGTGGCAAAGTGCTCGGTCTCCAAAGGCAGAAGCCCCTCGCGAGCTCTGAGACGCGGTCTGAGGCGCATTGCTGCTGTTGCCACTGCCTTTGGCCTCGCGGTGCAGGTCCCCTTTTGCCCTACCAGGTTGATGCCAGCGGACCACCCCAGCAGAGATGCCCCCTTGCCGGAGCCCATTCCTGGCTTTCTTGGGCCCTCCTGGACTTTGGCCGAAATCCGCTCGCTAGCCTCGCTCCCTAAGTTGCGCCGGTGGGCCTCGAATTGGGCCCGGCTGCTCCTCCTCGTGTCTGCGTACAAGCCCCCGCTTCTCTCGCAGCACCGCTTCGCCGGCCTTTCCTTCCGGGCCTTTGTTCCTCCTTGCTTGGACTTTGATGCCACCCTTGGCTATCCTGGGGAGGGTCCGGTGGTTTGGTTCTGGGTCCTTCTTCTTTTCGGTTTCAGGGCTAAGGGGGTTAGCTTAGGTGAGAGCCATGGCCTCCTCCCGCGGAACGCTGCTGACCTCGCTCGACAGGCCAAGAGGGGACGCTCTGTTTTACCTCAAGGCAGGGGTGTTGAACAGAAGACGGAGGCTCGCCGCGAGACACTCTGGGCCGCTTTTCTTGAGTGGCTTGAGGCAACAGGGGTCGACAGCAAGCTCTTCACGCAAACAGATGGTATTGTTGATATCGACAACATCAACGCTGTTTTGAGCAAGTATGGCCGTGAGCTTTATGCCAACGGCCGCCCCTACTCGCACTTCTCAGAAACCATCAACGCTTTTGCTGCGAAAACACCTAAGTGCCGGCGTTTGCTGCAGCCTGCTTGGGACACAGCTTTTGGTTGGCGTCGGGCTGAACCCATCCAGCATCATGCTGCTATGCCGTGGCAGGTCTTATGCTCGTGTGTTGCCTTGGCTTTTCTGTGGGGATGGCCTTTGGTTGCTGGGGCTTTGGCGCTATGCTGGGGTGGGCTTCTCAGGCCAGGGGAGCTCACTTCAGCTTACAGGTCTGACCTCGTGCTCCCAGGTGACATCGAGTGTTCGATGCCTTTTGCTTGGTTTTCTATAAGGGAGCCAAAAACGCGCTACTCGGCGGCAAGGCATCAGTCGGTCAAGATCGACCACCCCGACATCTTGGATGTGATTTCCATCGCCTATGCTCCTCTCCGTGCAGGCAGTAAGCTTTGGCCTTGTTCTGGCCAAACTCTGCGTACCAGGCTGCGGCAACTCCTTGACGCTCTTAAGATTCCAGCGGTGCCCACGCAGGGCGCGCGACACCTGGAGCTTGCTTCCCTCCGGGCGGGAGGAGCTTCTTGGATGATGCTGGTCTGTGAAGATCCAGGGCTGGTGCAGAGGCGAGGGCGATGGCTCAGTGCACGAGTCTTTGAAATTTACATACAAGAGGTTGGGACCCTCCAGTTCTTACCGGCGCTACCAGCGGAGGCTCGATACCGGATCCGTCGAGCCCTGGAAGAGTACCACAGCCTGGTGCAAGCAGCTCGTTTTTTACAGGACGCTGGCATCGCCCCCAAGAACTGGTTTTCTCTCTTTGCCGCAAGGATGCATGCTTGAGCACGACGTGGGAAAGGTGGGCGGTTATGCGGCAGAGGCTGTACAGTTTGGCTCCGCCAACAAACTTGTGCACCTTTCGTACTGCGGTGCAAAAAGTTTGCAGCCGCCCGCATACACGATGTTCGAATCCTTGACACAGTAAGGATGAGAATTGAGTTTTGCGCGCTCAAGCTTCCCGCCTCGCCCACCCGCACCATGCGGCAGAGGCTGTACAGTTTGGCTCCGCCAACAAACTTGTGCACCTTTCGTACTGCGGTGCAAAAAGTTTGCAGCCGCCCGCATACACGATGTTCGAATCCTTAATTATAGGTTTGGGGTATTCGGGTTTAGAGGTTGAGATCGCAGGCCTCTTTTGGGGACTGGTGCCACGTCTACGACGGGAGCACATTCTAGGTGAGGCCCATCAGTGGTCTTGACATGCGTACTAAGAGAATGTGTATCAGTTTCATATCCGTTTCGGTGCCAGCTTCCGCTGTGAGAGATATTAGCTTGGTTTTGTAATTTAGATATTCCTTAGCCCGCATTCCAAGTATTATCCGCAGTACTGCCGTCATTCCCATATTGTGCCGCTGCTGATTTTGCTGGTTCTGGTTTGCTGCTGTTCAACTGTTCATCTTGGGCAGCACCTTTCAGCACACATTACAGCCGTATGAGCTTTGTGATGTTCAGGTCTTGCTTGTCGCCTCAGAAGCACATGATCTGAGGAACACGAGCCTCGCTGGCGGCTTTGGTGCTCGACCTTACATTGCGAGGGAACATGCTCTGCTCAGCTCAGAGAGAAGTGGGTATCCCTCTTGGCCCCCAGCCTCAAGGGACCCTGAGCCCTGAGCCCTGGGCTGAAGATCAATCCCAAGCCCTGCCGCCGCATGTCCACGTTGAGGCCACGGCCTCACTCATCGGACTGACGAGGCCGGGCTCTCAGAACTTCGGGGCAGTACGCACCCATCAGATTTACATGTCGTCGAAATCAGCAAGATTCACCTTCGAATAAGGAACAGAAGTGTCATAATCATCATAGCACTCGCCATGTTCTTGCGAATCACGAATCACACTGCCCAAGCAGCTATGCTCACAACAACAAGCGCAACAACAAAGAGTTGCTGGTAAGCATCACCACAGATCTCAAGTTCCCGGTGACACGGATGTTTGACACCGTGACTGAGATAGCAGTCTCGACAATCAGTTCAACCCAGGTGAATGCAGTAGGTCAGTACGAAGCATAGTAAACCATGGTAAGGCCATTCCCTAAACGCGAACCAACATGCAGGCGGAAAGCCGTAAGATCTAAGCCCTCAAACCTCAGAGCCTAAAGCCCTAAACCCTCAAGCCCCTGAGCCTAAGCCGTAAACCCTCTGCCCTTCAGATTTGAATTCTCAAACCCGTAACCCTCGAAAGGGGCTGCGCAAGGAGTGGTGGTGGCTTGTCGACCTCACCTTGGACTCATCGACTTCGTCCTGGATTCCTTCAGTCCCTGCTAAGGCAGGGGAGGCTTAGGGTTTAGGGTCCCGGGCTCATTCACAAGCTGGTGACGCAGACTTTCGGGTTGAGGACTCAGGGCCTCCGCTCGATTGTAGATTTGTTGCTTCGATTTGCTCTCGTCACTGCCCAGGTGAACATCAGCAGGTGGGCCCTGGTGGACAGAAGCCCAAGACTTACTTGCAAAGACACTGAGAGGCTCCATGTCCTGCAAAGCATGCCAGAAGGTGAAACCCCTCCACCCTTGAAGAACACCACGGTCGAGGAGGCAAGGGTGTCAGAGAAAGCAGGATGTCGAAAGACAGGAAGTTGCCTCAATGAATGGGCGGATTGCAACCATCAGGAGCCGGAAGTGCAGTCCACATGCTGGAGCCTTGGTGTCGTGAACGAAAGGCACTACGTGATTTTCGCATCGCCTGGCTGGCGGTTCACCCCGAGGTTGGTGGTACAACCATTCGTCCAAGGACTGCCAAAGCGCACACCGGAGAGCATGTCAGACATGCCGGGAGCGCAAGGAGATCATTTCGACGACAGGGCCGTTGCAGGAGGTCGCCGAAGCCTTGAAGCCTTCGCTTCTGGTAGGGGCCAGGTCCCAAGGCTAATGCAAAGTCACCCTTGAAGCATCTTGAAGCGGTGAAACCAAGGATGGAACGATGGTTTGCAACTCGCCTGTAGGAGATGCAGGCGGAGGCCCAGTTGCTTTTCTTTTCGGGTTGTTCAGGGAACATGTCCTTGCGAACCCCAGATCTCAGTACATCCGATGTGCAGAATCGGCTGAATCAAGCGCGAGGCAAAGGCAGGATCCTTCGCAACATCGCAAGAGCAAAGGATTCACCCCACACCGAGGAAGGAACCTGGGCTCTATTTCTAACTCAGACAGGACGGACAGTAGCTCATGTAGCGGTGTCGTGGGGACGCACACGCATGCACCTATTTTTTACAGTGGCTGGAGAATTATGTCTGCTCTTCTTGCGATCGTTGTTCTGTTGGATTACTTTGAAGAGTTTTTGTTGGATGGTTCGTTGCGTTACTACAACTGTCGTTGCAGCGAGGCCTGCCGGCATGGTCGCCTATAGACACGCGGAAAGGAGGCGCAGCCCGGTGGCGCGATGCTTCTTAAACCCCCAACCGAAACGAAACAGTTGGAACAACGACAATAGAGCCACAACAAGTAGTACTGCTAGTACCATCACCAGTACGCAGTACTCGTCCGTCGTCGTCCTTCGTGCAGCTCTGAGACAGGAATGCGTTCCTGAAATGTCGCAACCGATGCAACCCTCCCGATGCTGCGCTCTAGCCCTAGGCCCTGAGTCCCAAGAGTTTTGAAGAAACCTTCCACTCTTACCACTAGCAGCCTTCTTCTTGTCCTTCTTATTCTTGTGATAAATGTTACTACTCTTGTTACTATCCGAGAGCATCCCTGAACCTGACGCCCTTTACAGGCTTGGACTTGGCCGTGGCGACCGAAGGGCAGGATCCTCGGAAAGCCCCGAACACCTGCTGCGGCATGGAAGGTTGAGGGGCTCAAAGAAGGTAGGCTTTGTTTAGTGCACCTAATTTCATGGTGTTAGAGGCTTCAGGGCTTCTAGGTCTTGTTCTGGGGTCTAGGATCTTCACTGTTGGATGGATCGGCGGCTTCCCCCGCGAGGGGCCTGAATTCGAGTACCGAAGCTAGAGTGTTGCAGGGCCACCAGCCCTAACTAATTCTAACCCCCCAAGAGACCCCGAAAGAGCCCTGCAGAGATGTTGGAAGCAGAGGTCTTCCGACTTCATTCGGCTGCAGGGGCAGACGGTGTCAGGCACTTGGAAGGCACTTCGGGCCACGAGCAGAAGTAGACGAGCACTTAAGTCAGGTTGTATAGTATTGCTTCGGCAACAAGTCGGGATTTGCCTTAATAACTCCCTTGTGATTCCCACATGTCTAGACCTACAGGAAAGAATATGTCTCTACAAGCCGGCTCAGAGAGGTTCTGAGGCTCGGCTTGGGTACCCGAGCCGTAAGCCTTGCAGCAGGTGGCCTCAGCGCTGGACGTCATGGAGCCAGGCCTGCGTACGAAGGATCCTGTTTCATGCAAGCATGAAGATGTGGGAGGGGACTCGTGAATTGGGGATCGCGCCCGTGCGATCCCAAACCACCCCCCCAAAGCCCGAAACCGCCAAAAAGAAACCTTGAGCCCTAAAGGGCCCAAAGCCGTACTAAAGACCTTAAGACCCAAAGGCCTGAAGCCCCTAAGCCCTCAAGCCCTAAACCCGTAAACCCCAAACCCTAAACCCTTGAGACCCAAAGGCCAGCCAGTCCCCGGCCTGGTGCCCACCTTCGCCATTGTCTGGAGCCTAGCTCGGAGCCATTCATGCACTTGCTCAGGTGGGTCAGGGTTTAGGGTTTAGGGGTTAGGCTTTAGGTGTTTAAGATCTTGGCTCGTTTATACTCCGTGGATCTAAACATGTATCTGTGCACAGCAAAACGACGTGCTTCATGCTGTCTCAAACTTTGCCCCGAACGTAACACCCAATCTCTGCATACCCGAAGCAGTGAACCCTTGGAATGAACACAGGGCCAACCGAAAAGGTCCGTAAGCTCTGCTTATCGTGTTGTCACGAGCCTCGAGGTACCTAGCTTCATGGACCCGGAAGCTTTGCCAGAGGCTTTTCCATGCATGTGGGGTTGGTGGGTGGGGCCCGCCGGGCGCAACTTCACTCATTCCGAGAACTGGCCGTTTCAGCAGCCATCACGTTGTCTGACAGCACGTTCTGAACCTGTCGTGTGCTCCCCCAGCTTTGCTGTTGTGCCGCAGCCTGGTCAGTGTAAGGCCGCATCTGCAAAAAGATCTGACAGCTGCAAGAACCGGAGAGGCAGCCATTCTCGTCGGGTATGGGTTCTCCGGCAACAGATGGCAGCTGCCTCAACAAGCATTGAGAAGATAGCACACGACTTGCAGGGGCGCTTATGTCTAGCCTGTGCTTCGTGTTGGGATACAGAACTGCAGCTGGCAGCCTACAGATGGAAATCAAGGGTTGATGGCGACATCCTACGATTGATACTACGAGTAGTAATTTGGCTGTCATTGTTGGTGCAGGTGTTGTCATCACAATTGCGCACATGGTTCTGGTTATCATCAGCCTTAGCAAGTATCATCACATATCAGAGTCCACAGGGTGGACCTACCATGATAAGGTATAGATTCGTGACTTCCGCAACTTCCGCGGAGTGAGGAAAACATCAAAGGGTCGACTGCATGCGCTTCTCTGTGTGTGTGTGTGTGCGTCTTGTCGTGCTTCTTGCGCACACATCATGTCGCCGTAGGTTGGGTGCAAGCCTGCCGTGGTTAAGACGAATCCTGTCAGGGTGTAAAAACCCCATGTTAAAGCATGGTAAGTGCACCCTCTCCCTATCAGAGTCATGACAGTTATTGCATGTTCATCTGCTGTCTTTGCAGCTGTTCTTGTTGCTACAGTATCTAGCAATCTATCTGTCTAGCACCCCTTCTAATTTCAGGGTAGTGCTACTTCCATTGCTACAATTCCGATCTTTGTTATTCTCCTCTATGCTTGGTGCGACTGGGTGCTATTATTGATGTTTTGTGTTTTCGTGTGCCTTGCATCGAGTTTTGTTGCAGTTGTACAGAGGTTCGGACTCTGTGACAAGCGCTCTCATCCGCTCAGGACTTGCCGCTGGACTTCTGTGAATACCAAAGGAGTACCATTCCGGTACTTCGGCACGGTCATCAACAACACTGCCAGGATCTCGGCTACCCTCAATCAATCTATCAAGCATTAAATCATTCTTATTCCCTGAATCCACCTGAAGCACCAACGCATCACTACTGCTAAATCTGGAGAACTTGAAGCAGTAGTAGCAGTAGCAGTAGC